CCCCCCCCCCCCCCGGACTGGACCAGGCTTCACTTCACATCACACACACACACACACACACACACACACACACACACACACACACACACACACACACACACACACACACACACACACGTATCCAATATAAAAACTAGGTTAAACTTTGATTTATTTGTATGAATTTTAATTAGAAATTTAAGATATTTTTAGTTAAAAATAATTTAATTTAGTTTTTAAAATCTACACATTTATTTAAAAACAATTACAGCCAAATAAAATTAAACTGATTGAAATTTACTTTTAAAAACAAACCTTTTTTTACCATTTCAGTGACAGAAATATCTAAATGTAAAAAAAAGACTGTGTATATTTAATTGATCAGATTTACAGGATTATTTTTGCCAATTCAAGCAACACGTTTGGATAAAAACAGTTGAATTTATTAAAACAATTATCAAACTGACTAAATAATTCAGTAAAAAACTGTAGTTCATTTTAAATTAATAAAATAAATTTAAATTTAAAACATTAAATAAATTCTAAAATCTTTATATAATTTAAAAATAAAATTAAGCATTTGCAGCTTCTACTGTGTAAATAAAAATATATTTATTATATATTATTAATATCAAATCATTTAGCAGAAACAGCAGATAAAACTTGTTTGAAAATTGTATTTAACATTTTCTGACATAAATATAAATTATTCTGTGAATTTTGTTTGACAGAAAACAACAAAATTAAACATGTATTTGATAATACCATTGATACTTATATTCATTATTGATTGTAATAAAAACGAGTTTTTAAAACTAAACTTTTCATCTGCATATTTTATAGTTTTTGCTGCGAGACATTTTGTTGCGTCTCCTGTGAGTTTGTTTCGTCACCAGACGACAAAAAGGCTCGATTCTAATCTGATGAACTGAATCAAGACGCTGCGCTTCAATTAAACGCTCCTCTTCCTCCTCACAGGAGCTGAACGTTACCGTGACGATCAGGCCCCGCCCCCTCACACACACACACAGACCCCCATCGATGGACGAAGAAGCAAAGGTCACAGAAACACGGAGACGGCATCGGCGAACACGAGAAGTCGCGCTCGTCCACAAATATGCTGATTTGTCTTCAAATGGACGAAGACGTGAGACGCTCCGTAAATCAGGACAGTTTGTCCCTGCAGACAAAACGAGACGATACCGGGTCAAACAGGAAGTTTGGTCTGCAGGACGACGGGTCAGAAGAACCATCGTCATCTCCCTGTCCTCGTAAAACAACACCTTCACCTGTGACGTTTACTGTAAACAAACAAACATGTGTTTACTGTAAACAAACATGACATGTTTACTGTAAGCAAACAAACATGTTTACAGTGAACAAACCAAAATGTGTTTATTGTAAACAAACAAACAAACATGTTTACTGTTAACAAACCAACATGTGTTTACTGTAAACAAACGTGTTTACTGTAAACAAACGTGTGTTTACTGTAAAAAAAACTACATGTTTACTGTAAACAAACCAATGTGTTTACTGTAAAAAAAACTACATGTTTATTGTAAACAAACATGAGTTTACTCCAATGTGTGTTTACTGTAAACAAACCAATGTGTTTACTGTAAACAAACAAACAAACAAACAAACATAACTTGTTTACTGTAATCAAACAAACATGTTTACAGTGAACAAACCAAAATGTGTTTATTGTAAACAAACAAACATGTTTACTGTTAACAAACCATGTGTTTACTGTAAAAAAAAAACACAACGTGTTTACTGTAAACAAACACAAAGTGTTTACAGTAAACAAACATTACATGTTTACTGTAAAAAAACACACAATGTGTTTACTGTAAACAAACAAACCAACATGTTTACTGTTAAAAATGACATGTTTACAGTAAAACAATCATGAAGTGTTTACTGTAAACAAACATGTTTACTGTAATAAAAAAAAACATTAAGATTTTACTGTAAACAAAAAACATAAGTTTACTATAATCAAACAAACATGTGTTTGCTGTAAACAAACATTCATGTTTACTCTAAACAAACCACACAATGTGTTTACTGTAAACAAGTAACAGGGCTTGTTTACTGTAAAAAACAACAACATGACAACACTGTTTCCTAGGTTTATGGAGTGATTCCTGTTAAAGCCCGTTAACATTTACAACCCAACATGTGCTGATGAACCTAGGAGCCCCGCCCACTTCTCAACTAAACACAACCGTTAGAAGCATTTAGAGATTTGAAGACGACTCAACACAACTGGAACACACACACACTGTAACATACACACACACTGTACCACACACTGTAACACACACACACACACACTGTAACACACACTGTACTACACACTGTAACACACACTGTAACACACACACACTGCAACACACACACACACTGTAACATACACACACTGTACCACACACTGTACCACACACACACTGTAACACACACACACACACACACTAT